TGGGCATGTTATGAGGGATGAATCGTATGATACAAGGAGAACGTTAGTAAGTGTGGAAGGGTATATCGGTAGAGGTTGACGTAGAAATAGATGGATTGCGTGAAAGGTGACATGATCAAAAAGGCAATTTGACCGGAAAAATAATTCTGTAATAAATTAAAACAATATAAATTTAAAAAGTCTTTCTATCCGTTTCTATACAGTCGTATCTCGAAGCATAAAGTGTTGACTAACAACGCCTTCCCTTTGAAAATGTTTTAATAATTCAGGCTTAATTTAAAGGTGGCAGGTGACGTCTTTTGAAGTGTTGCCACTTGAGAAAATATGACGCAATGAAATGGGTTTCAATTTACCCCTAACATACCCTCGTTTCTGGCATCAACATATCTTGTAATTAAATTAATGAGTTATTTTATTACTAAATTACATCTTGTTAAAATGTTAACAAGTTTTTATAGCACTAGCACTACAAGTTGTGATCGCGACTTCGTTCACGCGAACTTAAAAAAAATTAAGTTATAAATATAGGTTATGTTTACTTATGTCAGCGTTCTGATAATAGATTTTTTAAAATCGGAACGTTACATACAAAAAAGCAAATAAAAACTGTAGAAAAATGCTTTGTAATAAAACCTAAGCATATTTTGTAATATACATGACAATCTCTACATATAATAAGATTAGAGTGTCTGTAATATCAAAAGAAGAATATTTAGATTTCGAAAAGATCTTGTATTTGCTTTGCTGATACGAAAAACGCATTTAAAATTTTCTTGTCTGTCTGTCTGTCCACAAGTTGCGTTTGTTCCGGGTAATCTGCGAAACGGCTGGGCCGATTTCGACCGGGCCTTCACTGAAGGGTAGCTGACATAGACGGGCATATTATAGGATACTTTTTTCATTACTTAAATGTTACTATACGTCCATTTGTCACTTGTTATGGTAAAAATGTAGAAAACTCACGTAGAAATATCACTGCATACCTCGGCTGACACCGACGTCAAAGTAATAATAATTGTACAATATAGACATAACAGCTACAATAAGGGACGCTTAAATAATTCAAGGATTTTCATTACTTTTTAGTGTATTGTTTTTTTGACAGTATTTTGTTTTCATTTTCTTTGGAAGTCGGTTTTTTTATTGTGTATATTGCGTGGACGAAGTCGCGGGCAACAGCTAGTAGACAATAAAATATAATTTTATGTTATAATTAAAACACTAACGTATTGTTGAGAATTAAACGATTTATTCCAAATTAGTTATCTTTTTATTCATCTCTCTGACTTAACAACAACACGTTTCCATGGTAACCGCTTACAATTTTATATCCAAAGAGTATCAAAATTATAAAACATGTCACAAATTAAAAAGCTAATTATCAAAGAATATTTACAGTATATTTACGTAACAGTATTTTTATAGTCTGTTATATTCAATTTAATTGGTGCTTCAACATTGAAAGCTATGTTCATGTAAATAGTTTGTGATTTTTAGTACAAGGTTGGATTGATATGTCACATTGCGTTCAATTTAATACGGTCTGTGTTTAAATCGTAGCTAAATTGTACAATAAGTGCTCACACACGTTCGACTAAACTATCGCACAACTGTTTAGTCTCGTTTTGATTCCTATGAGCTTATATAGAGGTGCGTACGTATTTTTATTGTGCAACTAAACAGTTGAGACGAAACAGTTTAACAGTGGTAGAGCCCGCTTTAACATCTTCGCACGAATGGACCGGCTCGCCAGTAATACAATACAATAGCAATTCCGCCTTTCGTCTGATGAGTGCGGTGCCGGAGGCCTAATTTTAGTCACTCTCCCTTTCCACCCTTTTCTTAAGAGGAAAGGAAGGGAAGGAAAAGTGGATTTGACGGTGGAGGAAACGCATAGGAAGGAGAAATGTCCTTTTTATGTGCGTCTCCTTCTCCGTCAATCAAGGGTTGGCAGCGCATCTGCAATTGCGGATGTCTATGGGCAGCGGTCGCTTTTCATTTCGGTGGATTCAGGTGGCCGCTTGCTCGTTTGCCACCATATGTTATATAAAAAAACAATACTTCATTTAAGGCCGGTTTCCTATCTACATTTAACCATTCGTGTTTTAATTAGATACATTCATGAAATGCGTGTCCGAACTACGTAACTAAATAAGTCATCATCATCAACTTGCCCTTATCCCTTATGGAGGATCGGCACAGTATGTGCTGCTCTTCCATACATCGCTATCAGCCGTATCTGAATCCACTCCCTTCTTAAGCATATCCTCTTTCACACAATAAGTAAATAAGTGTTTGGTAAAATTATTCAAGGCCACAAGTTATGAATAATATATTTTTTTAAGATTACGAGATTATAATTCACAGTAAATTCTACCTCTGTTGAGATAAAAATCTTCATTACGAAGGAAGCATGTGTAATGGGTGTTTTTAACAAGAGATCTAATCTTAGTATCCGAATTATACCAACAATTAATATCATAACCTCTTTAACATCCTGACTGTAATTGTGTTATCATTTGAATACTAATTGTAACATTATAATAGTGGTTATGATAAAAAATTGCACCTTGTATAAAAATCTTAATTTTTAAAACCCAAAACATTTGAGATTTACTAGTTTCAAGCACGTAGAATTGAAGAGACAAAAACAAGCTTATGTTTTCTTCCAGACTATTACCATTGGACAATTTTTTTATACTACCCATATTGGACAACAGAAAAAATGTGGTGTACAAAATAAAAGACGTGCGTGTTGTCGAAGATGTATAATCCGACTAAATACAGATCTCTAATACTCACAGGTATAATGTTATAAGTAGTGTTATAATTATTGCTACCTACATTACACTCTACATCTATGCCAAATTTCATCGAGATCCGTTCAGCAGTTTAGACTCCAAACTTTAATAAACATATATCCATCTTAATTCTCGCATTTATAATATTAATAAGATAGGATTATCTTAATGACGTCATAGTGTAAAAATTAGTTCAAATGGTTAGTGCAATTCTTTCCCCTTTTTAATTAGTTTATTGACAGTTTTATATCTAGTTCAAGGACAAATCAAAAATAGCACCTCTTATCTGACATTTAGTTGTTTTTATTACAGACTAGCTTTCGCCTGCGTGGAATTAAAAAAAAAGTGAATAGCTTATATGTCCTTCCAGACTATCCTCTACTTCTATACCAATTTTTTTCGAAATCCGTTCAGCCGTTTAGACTACTAACACCAACAAACATCCATCCATCTAAACTTTCGCATTTATAATGTTAGTAAGAAGTAAGTTTTAATCCATCTATCAATTCTCTGTACTAATATAATAAACCGTAAACACACACTACTTTGTGGCGTAAGATGTCAGCAATCATAGCATATTTTTGAATAGTTATTTCTGTAATTAAAAGCACTACACTTGCGACACGCTTTAGGCTATGTATTTTCACGCCATTAAACTTAGGGTGTAAATAAATTTGAAAAAATACCTCATGGCGGAAAGGGCCATAAACTACAAGCTGCCAACGTTAACTTTGACATTTGTAATTGACTGAATAAAGTTTTTATAGTTTCATGCAGATGAAGCCGCACGGGAACAGCTAATTTATAAAAGCTGAAGTATTTTTAAAGAAATTCATTTGATCACATGACAATATTAGTCATTACAAGAAAGGGTAATTCCATAAATACTTATTTAAACTTTCGTTGTCCATTTATAGTTATGGAATGCTTTTGTCTCGAGCATTTTTTTTCATACGTCTG